GTGGTGTGTGATACATGTACATTATAATAATAAAAATCCTGAGCTCTTTCGTGTGGTGTGTGATACATGTACATTATAATAATAAAAATCATGAGCTCTTCCGTGTGGTGTGTGATACATGTACATTATAATAATAAAAACCCTGAGCTCTTCCGTGTGGTGTGTGATACATGTACATTATAATAATACTGTAAAGAGGTTAATTATTTACTGGGTTTTAATTTTGCTTATTTCACTGATTGGAAAATGCGCTAAATTAAAACCCAATGAATATGTAAAATTTAGCATAGAACACATTATCTAAATGATAAAACCGTGAATTTAAAACCCAATGAATATGCATGAAATGGTAAATCTGCGAAATTTAAACCCAATGAAAATTAGTCATTTTACAGTAAAAACCCTGAGCTCTTCCGTGTGGTGTGTGATACATGTACATTACTGTTGTATAATAATAAAAACCCTGAGGTTTGTGTGGTGTGTGATACATGTACATTATAATAATAAAAACCCTACGTTTTTCTGTGTGTTCTATGTGTGATACATGTTCATTTTGACGTTATATTAATGAAAACCCCTAGCTCTGCAATTTGTTTTATGTGTGTAGTACATCATAACATTAATATTGCATTATTCCTGTGGGACATTAGTCCAAAATGGAGACTGAATTCTGTTCGAGTGCCAGTATGTCATTTTTCGAAATGTCTGAAACAATTTTATTCCAAGTTCATACAAAGACGAGACATGCTGGTATGCATGTTAATTTTGTTGTTGTTTTGTTTTGTTGATCTTTGTCTAACTATGTTCATTGTAGTCCCCCAAAAACATGTCATTACAACATGTCATCAACTGTAGACATGCCTCGGCTGATTTCATTTAAACTTGTTATTTACATTACTCATTGTTGGTTACTGGTGTTTGTCATTTTGTATCACAACTTGATTAAAAATACATTACTGGTGGTCTTTTGTTACTTATGTGTTCTACTCGTTTCCCGTATATACTTTCTTTTTTGTTCAAATTTGACCAACTTGTGGCTGTTTTTGTTTAAAAATCACAAAATGTTAACATTTCATCAACCATTTGCCTATTCAATCTTGGTGTGAACATCACACATGAGTTACTGATTTGATTAATAATGGTTGCCTGGCAGCCATGTTGGTTTTATTTGTGTGTGTCCTGAACCATTTCTAGGGCATTCAAAATACAATCGCTTGTTTTGTGTCAAGTGATAATATTTGTAATAATAGCATAAAAGGTATTTTATAAAGTTGAGCGTTTCTTGTAATTTCTCTAAGGCAGCATTATTGTAAATAATAAAAACTTGTCAGTGTGTAAAGGGTATCCTCACTAGTAACAACAGCTGTTTTTGCTGAACATCACTGATGTAAGCAGTTCTCTCTATTTTTATGTTATCATAATATCATAATAAGATGAAGGCAATTTTACACAAATATACTGAAATCAATAAATTGAAATGTTCAACCTATATGTGTATTGATATTGCAGTTTTATCAATGCTGATACTAGTTCGGTAAATGTCACGATATTGTTTAAGAATGTTCGAACAGTATGCCGATAAAAAAACAAATTGCGCCATAGTATTTGAGTTTATTATAGCAATATGAGAATGTCATTGGGAATAACAAAGATTATTCACATGGCAATTACACTTACATGTAACTCATAACATTTCATTGTCCATATTTAGACATTTCGTTATGTCATTCATTTACATAAGCACTCATTATCATTATTACTCTGTTGCATTCCATCAGTCTTGAATCTGCATAACATTTTGACAATAAATTTGGTAACAAAAAAATACATCATCCTACTATTCGGCCAAAAAAAAAAAACCCAAGTCGAAAAATGTGAAAATTTGGTCGGTCGGTCGGATTTTTTTTTTAAATTCGTGATAACTAAAAGTATCGTAAATAGCCAAGGTATATGGACTTCATAGTATTCGGAACATGTCAGAGAAATACAGATCAACCCGAGGTTCAAAATCGTCACTAAAGAGGAAACACTTTTTACTGCTTAAAATGGTGAGTTTTTAATATTTGCACCTATTAAAAAAAAAAAAAACGCGACCCGATATTTCATATTTTTCTGTCGGTCGCTGAGGGCAACAAAACAATCTTTTTGTGTGGTCTTATTGTATTCCTGGGTTTGGGACATAAAAATAAAAACTGTACAAACAGGTGGTAAGCTCATAGTAAATAAATAGCAGTCAGTTCCTGCATATTGTATTTTATCCATGTCAAGTTAGTCATGTGTACGTGAAAAGAAATGTTTGTATTTGCCCACAAATAAGACGCATGTGAAGCTTGTATGTTGCCACTTTTTGCTTCATCATTTTTCAAGATGGTGGCAATCGCCAAAATTCTGATATATATTGTAAAGTTTACTGTCAGCAAAGAAACATGTAATACTTGTATCAACCGCTCCCTCGTGTAGGCTTTTGGGTCTTTGCACAGGGAAAATGTTTAGCTTTCTAACGTTGGGGTAGATATAGTAATATATATTCTTGCATGCCTTCTTGTTACACAGCAAGAGCATAGAATACTTGGTTGGTTGAGTGCGCTCTTTCTTGTACAAGGCACATTGATTAATAAAGTTTATGATTTATTATCATTGCTATCAGCCATTGCCAGGGTTTGTGCTAATGTCTTGGCAAGACGAGTTCCACCTACAAAATTTTAAGAAATTGAAATTTGACCCTGGATAACTTTATTAGAGATTCGAACTCAACTTGCCTAAAAAACTGGGTCCCTCTTCAATAATTTGAGTCTGGGAAGCAAAATATGGGGTTAACGCGATCCCTGCATTGCTGTATCCAAAGTTCAGTTTATTTTAAATTTTGTCTCAGTGTGCATAAACACTCTAATTTTCTTTTAAAAGAAATCCCTTTTGGACAACTGAATTTGTTGGTGTTTTAGCATCTGAGCTTATTACCAAACACTTCAGTGTGGTATTCAGCCCCCCCCCTAAATATAGGGAGTGGGGGCGGGGGTGGATCTTCCAAGAGCCCTTCGGGGTTTATAAAACTCATTCAACATAGTCCATGTGATGTACACCTAATATGCCAAACATGTTGCTGAACGATTTTGCCAATGAAAACAAGCTGGTTGGCGATCCACTCCATTAAAAAAAAACTAGCAATATGTTTTCGGCTGTTGCCATGGTAGGACATGAGCGTGAAGCTAACGTTGGTTTATAACTAAAACCGGGCACCGTATACAAAGTTCGCAAAAAAGCATTCAGTCCTTAGAAGTCATTTTATTTTATTGCTAGGACGTATGCTGTTGTTAGGGATTGGTCAGTTACTTCGGCCTGGGGGTGGATCAGTAGGGGGGTCACCCTGATTTTGATTTTGCGAATGGGGGGGGGGGTCACCCTGTTTTCCACAATTCACACACGCGCTTATGCATATATTTTTTTAAATTTTATTTCAGAACAATAGATTAAAAAGTTAATCGTACAAATGTGTTCTTAATAATAACTATTACCCATATTGCCTATAAATTTGTTGATGCAAAAAATGTTATAGGCTAAATATTTTGGGGTTGAAGTTGACAAATAACTAACAGATTATGCAATGCGGCAGAGCCCCATGCAATTATACAGTTACGTTTTGAACACATCCATGTCCATGTGATATCAGATTATTTTATTTAAAGTCTGAAGTCACCATTGTATAAG